TTATATAAATACAAATATATAAAAAAATCTATGATTAAATATGGACATCAAAATAGTAATTTAGTTTTTGGATGGAGCTTTGTGAGTTTTTTTTTAAAAAAAAAAAATTGGATCCAACTTGACGGGGAAAATCTTTGCTGGTAAAAACAGGTCCACGTGCGTTTTCGTTTATTATATTTGTTTAAGCTATAAAACTGTACGTAATTAAATTAAGTTAATAATAAAAATCATAAATATATTAACAAATCATGTTAAAAAACTATAAGTAACACACACAGATGCTAGTCCTATTGCGAATGCTACTCATAAACTTGTAATTAATTTGATTAATTCACTCATTTAATTAAAAGAGAGCACCTGCACCTACTTTTTTTTACATAAAAAAAAAACAGAAAGTATAGTTGTCAAAGTGCATTAATGGAGGATGAACTTCTAGGTTGGCTATGAGGCATTAAAGATTTCCAACGACTTTGTTGGGTTTATGGGTTGTAGGAAACTTCCAACCACTTTGTGGCTGCTCGTTTGCCTTCCCTTTCTGTCACTCTTCTGCATTCTTTGCATTCATTGTCAACGCCCCTCGTCACTTTTATTATTAAGCTCTTCATGATTCTAGCATTATCTGCATTAATTCTTTTTTATTTTTGATAAAATGCATGGATTTTTCAGTGAACTTCCTATGTGTCTTTTCTACTAATCTTTAAATTTTAACAATACAGTCAAACTTTAGAGTTTGGATTATACTCACACGGGTTGTCTCCTTTCATTTATTCATTATTTCCAAAGGTACCTTCAATCATAATCTTTTTGCAATACTTCCTCTAATTCACTATATAAATTGCTTCTAAAATAATAGTTTTGGTCCAAAATATAAATTATTTAATTAATATTTATCTATCAATTTTATCTCTATAATTAATGCTTAAATGTATTGACTCATCGTATTTTTCTCTTTCCTTCACAACCACACTTAATATGTGTAAAGTTGAAAAAAAAAAATTTAATTTGAAACAGATTTAACGAGTTAATTACAATTTTTTTAATTCTAATAAATTAATTAAAATAATTTATATTGTGAACTACTAGATGGATGGAGTATCAATTTTAAGACAACATTTTTAATAATTAATTCTAGCTTGTTGAGAAGAAATTTAGAAATTACGTTAGATAACTAGTTGTCTCAGCAGTAACACCATTCGTCTAGTTTGAATGAGGTTCTGAGTTTGAACCCAAAATTGTTATAAATAACATTAATTGCATAAGTTGAAAGGAATTGTCAATTGCCAGTTACTAGTACTCCTATTAGCTAGGCTTTAGCCGGAAAGCCACATACATACAACTTCATATTTATTTAAAGCCGTGCTAACAAATTCCCAATTGCTGATGATATACATATTTGTCCACTTGCACTTTGCCCGTAGAAGACAAATGGTTAGAAAATCAACTACATACGCTGATCCTAGCTATCAAATTGGCATTATCAAATTAATAGTTTATATATATATATATATATATATATCTGTGTGTGTATGTATATTCAATAGACGACTTATTATCTTCCTATTCATTCTTGATGTGACAAACCTGTATGCAGGCTGCACATCTTGCCTTTACTCATCAGGAATGAGTTATCCAGTGGCTAGGTCACACACACACACACACACACAATGATCACATGAAAATAAACGGGACCACAGCATGTTAATTAATTTGTCTAATTACTTTCTTAGTTCACTTCTTTGTTTACAGACATAGAGAAACTCGTTAGTTCTCGTTTAAGAGTTGGTCACTGGATTTAAACAGAATTTTGTATGGCCATATATATAAAACTCATCAAATACTATAGCTTATTTTGTAGGGCACTCTCAATTTAAAAACAGAATTTTTCAAATGCAGCGAGTTATTAGTCTTTTTGTCAGTGCATGGACCTTGAGGCATAATTTAATAAAAAGCAAGGAGCTACTATTAGAAGCAAAAATTAAAGGGGAATTGGGTTAATCACATTTGTAAGGAAACAGAACGAGCAATATTTGGAGGGAATCTCTATTAATTACAAATTCACAATGCCTGCTAATTAAAATCTTGGTCTATGTGATTAATCTTCCAATCATAAATATAAGACCGTTTTGTAGTGTAAAATTATACTGCAAAATGTGTCTTACATTTAGGACTGAATGAGTATACACACACGTATATAACCCACATTTGTACTCATTCAGCAGTATGATAACAAATGCTGAAAATGGTAAATCTAATGTTACTATTTTCCAATGTGTTTATTACAAGCTCACATGATTACTATATTTCAATATTTGATCATAAATATAAAATCTGGGTAATGAATGAAGTTTAGTCTTAATAAATAGAGAAATTTAGTCATTTCGTCTCTTTCATTTAATATTTCTTACGTTTATTAATTTCATAGCTTTAAAGTTAGACCATTTTTGTCTTACAAAAACAGAGGGGGAGGTCAATTAATTGAATGGTCCAAATCCAAATGAGTAGGAGTTGGGGTCACGATAGAACATCATCACACGCCGTCTCATCAAAACATCACCGCTAGCTTTTAAGTTCTAATTACATTTGATGATACGCCTCAACTTTCGCAGTCTCAGCGTATATATTCAGATGCTTCGAGATTCATATACAGTTTATTTATTTTCATATAATTGCATAGTTTAAAAAATAAGAAAATATTCAATTATTGTAACAACATTTCAATTATACATTGTATACATTCACTTATAATATATAATTTATAGCAGTAGGAAAAAAACAATAATTTAATTATTAGACTTGGTTTTAATATAATCTCTCTATTTATAGCAGTAACGATAATTAGATTGATTAGAAACTTGCATCTTAACTCCTCTGTCTTTAATATAAGATTTAACTAATTTGATTAGATTTAGGAAGTTAGATAAGTTAGTTAATTATAAGAAATGTGACACGTTTTTCATAAAATACCATAATCATCTTTATTAATACCCCCTCTTCTCTTCTACTTGATTATGGTTGATGGAGTATCTATAGGGGTAATTTAAAGAAAATTGATAAATATGAGAAATAGGTTTTATATTTAAGACCAAAATCAATTCAACAATTGGGTTCTATATTAAGGACCGGAAGAGTATAATTTTATTTTACAACGTACAACCACGCACACACGGAGTATTACTTCAATAGCATTAGTATTTCATATTATACTTTTTGAGATTGATGTCGGTAGTATAAAGAAGTTTGATATTATTATGAAAAGGTGCAATTATTTTATATTTTATATTTTAAATTTTAAATAAATACAGCATATTATATACTATCATAATAGGAGTATATTCTATGCTGGCAAAAAATAAAAAACGGAGTATATTCCACACTACAAGTCTAAAAATACTAAAATACACTCTACAGAATAAAAAAATCCCAAACCTCGGGCCTTATAGGCTGGAGATATTAAATGTCTTCATTAATATCTTTCTTAAGCATAAGGTCGTGATTTCAATTCTCATTAACGGTGGTATAACGGGTGTGTAAATTATGGTTGAAAAAACCCAAAATATTAATAATTTATGTGTGTTCACCTTCAATTCTCTATTGGTGGCGGTTGTCATTTTTCTTTCTATTCTTAAGAAAATCTCCCTGACGTGGGATGACACAAATCCAGGAGTGGGTACTTAAAAGGCTAACTGGAGCTTACTCTTACTCATAGTTAAGCTCAATAGATCATTCTCAGCAATTTAATGCACCCGGGTTTTTTGTTTTTTGGGGGGGGGGGAGGAAAAGAAAAAAAGCACACAATTTAATTTAAAGCCTACACAAAATCAATTAATATCTCATGTGGTGGGTTGTTGTAAGTAATATAATGGTTGGGGGGTCACAACTCATCACACAACACTGAAACTGGAAACCCCGAAGCCACTTTTCTTTACTTTTTCTTATGTTATCACAAAATTCAGGCACACCAATCTCATAATAGACATTGCATTCACAGGTGCCAAAGGAAAAAAGAGTACCAACGAAACAAATCTTCAATGGCATTGGGTGTCACAAATAGACTTAATTACGTATTATGATAGCGCGCACACATATATATACTCTAGCTTACCATTTTCTTATTAGATATTCACTCATATACTTGCATTTTCTTATTTAAAAGTTATAAACTAAGCTTCCTCCTCTACAATCTTGATCTGGGGTCAAAATTTATAAGCCAAAATGACCTATATGCACATAATTTAATTTTCAGACATAGATTTTAGATTCCAGAACCCTGGTCAAGTTGACTCAATGTCCTTGTAGTTTTTTTAATTAAAAATTAGTTCATAATTAGAGTTATGATTAATTTTCATCACTGTCTTTGAAGATGACGTGTCACCGATATAACAATGAAATATAATTTAGTAATATAAAACCCTGCAAATTAATCAATAGTCGCACCCCTAAAACATTAGGCAAGTGAAAGTCTCATTTTCAAAAATGCGTTGCATTAAATTAGACGACTTATATAATTATATAAATGACTAAAAAAAAAAAAAACCCATCCATCCTCCTACCCGATTCCTAACTTGCCTGTTGGTTCCTTCATTGCACGTTCACATCACAGCTCACCACCCTCTCTTTAATTCCCTTCTTCTGCATCGATCGCCCTCTCACATTCACTAACTCTACCTTCCATTTCCAGGCACTCCCAGCTATACTCCTTCCTTATTTCCCCATCAAGCTTCTCTCTCTTTTTCCTCTTCTGGGCCCAAAAACCACCACCTCCATGGACGACGCCAAGGAGAAAAAGAAGAAGGAGATCCTCAGCCAAAAAAGCAGCAAAAAGTTCCCTTGTTAAAGCTCTTCTCCTTCGCTGACTTTTATGATTACGTGCTCATGGCTGTTGGATCTGTTGGCGCTTGTATTCATGGCGCTTCTGTTCCTATTTTCTTCATCTTTTTCGGAAAGTTGATCAACATCATTGGCTTCGCTTATCTTTTCCCCAAAGAAGCTTCTCCTCAAAGTTGCTCAGGTTTGTTTCAACTTTAATTCATTCTCACCCACCACTTTCACTCTTCTTCTTCTTCATCATGTATATATCCATGCTTATGGCCATTCTTTCTTCTCCTTTCCCCTTCGCCTTCGCCTTTCGGCTTTCCTAATCTGGTTTAATTGCAGATACAAGAACATGCCCCTTTTCAAAAGTGAAACATTTTGGGGTTTCCCTTCCTTGATGGCTCTCAATAAATTCTTTTTCTCTTTGTCTGTGTTATCATGCTCTTGGTGGTATATATATATGCTATGAATGTTCACTCGGGTGTGATATATTTTGCAGTATTCATTGGATTTCGTGTACCTGAGTATAGCAATACTATTTTCTTCTTGGACAGGTATACACACACACACACGAACTTAATAAAATAAACTTATAATTAACTGATTATGGCCATATCAATTAACAAACTGATTGAATATGGTGGTGCATGCAGAGGTGGCTTGTTGGATGCATACAGGAGAAAGGCAAGCGGCGAAGATGAGAATGGCGTATTTAAGGTCAATGCTGAGTCAAGATATAAGTCTTTTTGACACAGAGGCTTCAACTGGAGAGGTCATTTCTGCTATAACCAGTGACATTATTGTCGTTCAAGATGCATTATCAGAGAAGGTATGTATGTATTTATATTCCAAAAAGACGACTTTTGGTCACTGAATTGTTGAAATCATATATAAACTTTTAGCGTTTATGGAAATCTCAAAAACTTGGTTAGGTTTGTTTGGAATTGTCAAAAAAGAGGCCAGTGGTTGTGCTGTGCTGTGCTGTGTTGTGTTGGACCAAGGAAAGAGAGGAGGTTTCTGAATTCTGACACAAGCTTTTAAATGGGAGGGGAATTAATTGCAGTGGGGGGTGGGGTTGGCATTTATAAGTCGGGTGGGATTAGTTATGCTCTTTTAATTTCAAGTTTATTGATTTCCCACTTTAACTGCTCACCTCCCTCTTCTATCTTCACATGTATATATGAAACTGCTCATGCATGGTTCAATATTTACTTGGATATTGGAAACCACCTACTTCCAATTTCTCACTGCACGTGCTTGTCGCTTTCAAATTATATAACCACTACAATAAAATCACTTCGGCCAAAGCAATGTGAAAGTAATTTTGTCTCATAAATTGCAATGCCGCTTTTGGAATGGGGATAAGCAAACACACAATTAAGGTCTTTCTCTTATAAAATTGACGTGAAAAATATTGAACCGTACTGTTACAAGCTCTATACTATGAGGAAAAGTTAATATTGTGTTTGTTTAATTTAAAGTTTTAGAATTTTTTTTAAAATTATACTATATATCTTTCAATATAAATATGTTCAACTTTATTATTTTGAACTCTAATCTTCATGACATAAATTTAATTTCACGACATGGGATTCTTATTCATTAATTTGAAATGTGGATTCTATATTTACGGGCATTGGTTGCTCTGAGGACTTAAAAATTCAGATTGAACTTTGAGTGCAGCTATGTAATTAATTAAAAATAAATATGGCAGCATATCAAATTATACTTTTTTTCCATGTTTTATTTTTATTTACCTGGGTGTATCTAAATGAATTTTCTATTGTCTTTTCTCTCAATTGTTGACCTTCCCTCGTAAAAGCACAAAGTTTGACTCCTCGTTAGGAGATCATTATTACAAGGAATATACTGTAATTCGCTGTAGAAAGAAGCAAAGTTATTGAATAAGACAACTTATGGGGAGTATCATTTTTCGCTTTACATTCATTATTTTTTCCCCTTTTTGTTAATTTCTTTCCGGATTTTATTTTATATGCAATGACTTCAATAACTGCAAATTCAAATTGGGTGCAATATTCAAATCAATCACACATGAAATGGCGGGTTTTGCAGGTAGGGAATTTCATCCACTACATTAGCAGATTCATATCGGGATTTATTATCGGATTCGCGCGAGTATGGCAGATCAGTTTAGTGACACTCTCCATTGTGCCCTTAATTGCCCTTGCTGGCGGTCTCTACGCTTACGTCACAGTTGGGCTAATTGCCAAAGTTCGAAAATCCTACGTGAGAGCTGGTGAAATCGCTGAAGAAGTAATTTAACTACCGTCCCTTTCGTGTTCGGCGAAATGCTTGACTTAATATTGTGTGTCCATGTGTGTGTGTATATAAAGAAGACTCAAGAATGGCACTTGTTTTCTTTTTGTTTGTGGGTTTCAGGTGATAGGCAATGTTAGAACAGTACAGGCATTTGCAGGAGAAGAAAGAGCTGTAAGATCATACAAAACGGCCCTAATGAACACCTACAAGAACGGTCGAAAAACGGGATTAGCAAAGGGTTTAGGACTTGGCTCCATGCACTGTGTTCTTTTTCTTTCATGGTCCCTGCTTGTTTGGTTCACTAGCATCGTTGTTCACAAGAATATCGCCAATGGTGGAGAGTCTTTCACTACCATGCTCAACGTTGTTATCGCTGGCCTGTAAGCATATCTGAGCTTTTAGATGATACTCATGATGAGTACTATTTAATGTATTTAAAAGATGGAATTATTCTTGGTGACACTGCAACGTTTTAAATTGAACTGGTCTGTCTTATTTACCTAAACAAAAAAATTATCCCCTAGATTGGATATGCATGGCAGAAAATAACAGCCAGAGCAAAAATATATTTTATTTTTCATAATCAAGAATATTGTCCAGGAACGAGTTACGTTATCTGGCTTTGCTCATTTACATTTAGGTGATGATAACTGGAAGAAGTAGCACTTAGATCTTACTAAATTTGAAAATAATTAATCCGTCTTCCTCAGATTCAAACCTGTCCTTATTACATGGCAGCCTAATTAAAGATAAGCACACCGATGAAGTGAAGCCAGCTAAATATAATAGAATGGGCGAGTTTACATTCTAATAGAATGAATGGTGAAAACTTATGGACGACAATTAGAGGATAGATTAGGAATGGAAGTACGGGTTGATCTTCTGCATTGGTCCGACAACTTCTCTTATTTGTAGTGCATAACTATTAATGACATATTTTATAGAATTAATTGCAGTCATGAGTGTCGGATAGATTCTAACGCAGAACTAGCATCTTGGATTAAGCTCGTTCCTCAATAAAGTACCGTGAAGGCTATATTTTGCTTTTCAGGTCACTTGGACAGGCAGCGCCAGATATCACCGCATTTGTACGAGCAAAGGCAGCTGCTTATCCCATTTTTCAGATGATAGAGAGGGACACAGTGAGCAAAATCAGTTCAAAAACTGGTTATAAATTAAGCAAAGTAGAGGGTCACATTCAATTCAAAGGCGTTTGTTTCAGTTACCCATCTCGCCCTGAAGTAGTTATCTTCAACAACCTCAATATTGACATTCCTTCAGGGAAAGTTGTGGCCCTTGTTGGGGGAAGTGGTTCTGGAAAGAGCACCATTATATCGCTGATTGAGCGCTTCTACGAACCCTTTTCTGGACAGATCTTACTGGACAGGAATAACATTGCGGAACTTGATCTCAAATGGCTAAGGCAGCAAATCGGGTTGGTTAATCAAGAACCTGCCCTTTTTGCTACAAGCATCAGGGAGAACATACTGTATGGAAAAGATGATGCCACTCTTGAAGAACTTCAACGAGCTGTGAAGCTTTCAGATGCCCAGTCTTTCATTAACAATCTTCCTGATAGATTAGAAACTCAGGCAAGACCTATGAAATCTATGCATATTTAACCTTCTATTATACCAAAATGCCTTCACCCTTTGGTGATGTTACCTTGTATTTGCGGAGCACTTCTCATTTTCTATTTCTAGAATTGTTTCACAGTAAACTTGGGGTCTATAAGGAAGGAAGAAGGAACTAGGAAAGTGAGAAATGATGATCATGCTGTTATTATAAATAATTGATTTTTCATCCGAGTTTTTGCTACATTTAACAACTCTTAACATCAGGGAATTTAAATGCATTGCTAATTGGTGAATCAATTCTTAGAAAGAAATTGGACAGTGCATACCTGAAGTACAGAAAAAAAAAAGTATACTTTATTGAGTGATAATTTTGCCAAACATTCTCTTAAATAAATGCTAGCAAATAAAAATCTGATGGATGTTTTTTCTTCAATGGTTGATATTTATTGTGTTTTGAAGGTTGGTGAGAGAGGGATACAACTATCAGGTGGACAAAAGCAAAGGATTGCTATATCTCGTGCTTTAGTGAAGAATCCATCAATCCTTTTATTAGATGAAGCAACCAGTGCTCTGGATGCAGAGTCTGAGAAGAGCGTACAGGAGGCTCTTGATCGTGTCATGGTAGGTCGGACAACTGTAATAGTAGCACACAGACTTTCCACAATCAGAAACGCAGACGTGATTGCCGTTGTTCAAGGAGGGAAGATTGTTGAAACTGGCAGCCATGATGAGCTCATTGCCAATGCGAATAGTGCATATGCATCTCTTGTTCAACTCCAAGAGGCAGCTTCTTTGCAAAGACACCCTTCGGTAGGTCCTAGCTTGGGGCGGCCGTCAAGGTACTTCGTTTTCATTGGAGATTATGAATATTTGCAACTAGCTTAATCCAATGAAGATAACTCACATAATTTTGTCTTTGGTCAAGTGGCATTAACGAAAAAATCTAATCTGGCAAATTCTAGCTTCTCCCCACAGTGATGTTTATTTATTTCTGGTGACTGCAGCATAAGGTACTCAAGAGAATTATCCCGTACAACGACAAGCTTAGGTGGTAGTTTTCGATCAGATAAAGAATCTATTGGTCGTGTCGATGCTGATGAAGTGGATAGTATGGGCAAGACAAGGCATGTTTCTGCAAAAAGATTATACTCCATGATAGGGCCTGATTGGTACTATGGGGTTATAGGGACTTTCTGTGCATTTATTGCTGGAGCACAGATGCCTCTTTTTGCTCTAGGAATATCTCATGCTCTGGTATCATATTACATGGACTGGGATACTACCTGTCGTGAGGTCAAGAAAATTGCTTTCCTCTTTTGTGGGGCAGCAGTTGTAACCGTCATTGTCCATGCAATTGAACACCTTTGTTTTGGAATCATGGGTGAGCGACTTACTCTTCGTGTCCGAGAAGCTCTGTTTTCTGGTAAGTGTCGTCAACTGATAAATGCTTTGCCTACTTGTTCTTGTTCTGAATCTATTGTGCATTTCCATCTTGCAAGATTTCCATTAAAATACGTAAATAAAATAATTTGGCTATCATTGGTTTGAACATGATGGATCTCTCTCTTTCACTTACTCGCCGCTGTTCTTCTGACTGCAGCTATCTTGAAGAATGAAATTGGCTGGTTCGATGATGCGGACAACACTAGTTCTATGCTTTCATCACGTCTAGAGACTGATGCAACTTTGTTACGAACTATAGTTGTTGATCGGTCTACAATTCTCTTACAGAATGTTGGTCTAGTCGTTGCTTCATTTATTATTGCCTTCTTGTTGAACTGGAGACTAACGCTTGTTGTCTTGGCCACATATCCTTTGGTCATTAGTGGTCACATTAGTGAGGTTGCCTCTTCCCCAAATTTTAACATCAAAATTTAGCGCCCATTTTATATCTTAATTAACTTCCATTATTTCAGAAACTTTTCTTTCAAGGATACGGTGGCAACTTGAGCAAAGCATATCTGAAGGCCAACATGCTGGCTGGGGAGGCTGTGAGTAACATACGCACTGTTGCTGCATTTTGTTCTGAAGATAAAGTCCTTGAACTTTATGCTAATGAGCTTGTTGATCCTTCCAAGCGTTCATTAAACCGGGGTCACATTGCAGGCATATTCTATGGCATTTCCCAGTTCTTTATTTTCTCATCTTATGGTCTTGCCTTGTGGTAGGAATATGCCTTTAGCTTCTTTGTCTTGTACCTCCAAATGGTATGCCTTCGAGCTTAGATTTGTTTCACCTTTCTACAGGTATGGTTCCGTACTGATGGAAAAGGAGCTTGCCAGCTTTAAATCAATAATGAAGTCGTTTATGGTTTTGATAGTAACAGCACTGGCCATGGGGGAGACTTTGGCTCTCGCTCCAGACCTTTTGAAGGGGAATCAAATGGTTGCATCAGTTTTTCATCTGATGGATAGAAAGTCAGGAGTAATGAGTGATACTGGAGAAGATCTAAAGACGGTAGAGGGAACTATTGAGCTTAAAAGTGTCAATTTCAGCTACCCTTCGAGGCCAGATGTGATCGTTTTTAAGGATTTTAACCTTAAAGTGCCTTCAGGCAGTAGTCATGCCTTAGTGGGGCAAAGTGGTTCTGGTAAAAGTTCAGTTGTCTCCCTTATACTCAGGTTCTATGATCCAACTTCTGGGAAGGTGATGATTGACGGTAAGATGTCGTGACTTTCTGTAGCAGCTCTCAATCATTCCATTCAATTTAATTGCTTCTGTATTACCTTCTTGCAAACCTTTGTCGTATCACATATTGATTGGTATCTTGGAGGTCTATTGGCATTGTGTTGTCTGATTTCCTTTATACCAAGAATTGTCAAGCAATCATGTATCAAATGCCTCCCGAGTACCCTTTTGCTCCTGCTGTGCTCACAAGATTATGCCAAATTCTTGCACAGGGAAGGACATCAAGAGAGTCAATCTGAAATCACTGAGGAGACACATTGGTCTGGTGCAACAAGAACCAGCTCTGTTTGCAACATCAATATATGAAAACATTCTATATGGAAAGGAAGGAGCCTCTGAATCAGAAGTAATTGCAGCAGCTCAACTCGCAAACGCTCACAGCTTCATAAGCGGTCTTCCTGAGGGCTACTCCACCAAAGTGGGTGAGCGGGGAGTTCAGCTATCTGGTGGCCAAAGGCAAAGGATAGCCATAGCCAGAGCTGTTCTGAAGAACCCAGAAATCTTGCTTCTTGATGAAGCCACAAGTGCACTGGACGTGGAATCAGAGCGTGTCGTTCAGCAAGCACTAGACAGATTGATGCAGAACAGAACAACATTGATGGTGGCACATAGACTGTCCACAATAAGAAATGCAGATCAAATCTCAGTTTTGCAGGATGGGAAGATAGTGGAGCAAGGGTCTCACTCAAGTCTTATAGAAAACAAAAACGGAGCATACTTTAAATTAGTCAACCTTCAACAGCAACAGAATCAAAAATAAGAACGTAAGACATCACAGAACATAAACAGTCCATGAATTTTACACAGTTTTGCATTTATATATTTTATTATTTTACCACAATGATATGTGAATTATTGGGGAGCTCGTCTCTGCTATAAATAACAATGTACAAGTATCAAATGTTGGTAAATGATGTTAAAAAGAACAAACGGTCCCCTCGTCACCCCAACCCCAAAATTTGTTCTGCAAGTGTGAATGGAGTCTGAACTTTCACATGATCATCGGTTGGGGCCCCCGAGGGCGTTTTGTTCATTCCCAGATGTACGTATCTCGAATGAGTAGGTTGACCAAGTTTTTTACTTGGTTTTCTTGCTGAACAGGTTTAATTTTAAAGCTGCAGAAAGTTCAGACATTAAAACTACTGTCCCTGTGAGCATTGAATACAGAAAGGAAAATCAATATATCAAACATATTTAGAATTTGGAATTCATGAGCAATAATAGTGTTATTTTATTATCGGAGACCATTGGATCAGAAGAACGGCTAGATGAGTTCGGAATAAATGTGCTGCAGTTATTTTGCTAACCGTACAGAATAAGCACCCAATGATGAAAATGGTGTCTCTTGCCGTCTATATATAATAAAAAGACACAAAGGAAATTACTTATATGCATAGAACTTATATTTTTATCGCTTTCTCTAGTACACAATATGCATTTAATTACTATAGTGAATCTAAAAGATCTGAATTGCTAAAAGAGCATGCCATGGGACTTTGGAAAGTAGTTCTGTTTGGTGGATGATTCAATAAATAAGTGAAGTGCTTCGCTGCTAACCATTTTTTTTTCCGGGGTAAAGTTATAATCCTATACGAGTGCTCTCCAAGTTGTTATGAGTCAAACTTAAAAATTTGTTCACTTTCTTATGGATAAGTAAATGGTTTTTTGGCCAAACAAAGAAGTAATTGGTATGGCTTTTAAATCTGTTCACACCATTCTTTTTTGAATAGTAGCAGGATGAATTTTCCTTCCAAGTTCCATTTAACTTCACATTATTCTTCTTGGTTGGTCATCCACCTGAACGTAAATGTGAAAGAAATTAAAATGAGGTAAGAAGTTGAAAAAATTGCACTGTATCTCACTTCCACTTTGAACACAATTTAACGAAAGTTTGAGCTTCTTGAAAGGTCAAAACCAAGGTGTCGTTCTATAAAATACTAAAATGTCAAACATTTGATGTCTTCCTTCCCAAAAAAGACCCACGTTTCATTCTGAGTTTGGTAAATGTTTGGTTGTAGTATTATATGTGTGTGTGTGTGTGTGTAGTTATATACTACATGGAGATTATAACTAACCATATATAAATTGACCACACAACCTGTAAAGTAGTTTTATTAAACCCTTCTAAAAGTCCGATCTGGATTTGATGATCATCGTCAACAAAATATGGGCTTTTTCACTAAATAATTATTGTTTACTAAATTACTTTGGTCGGGGGGGAGGAGAATATATATTGCCTGCTAAATTACTTCAAATCAGAGTATTTCATTTCGTTGATTGAGTGTCTTCAACTTAAATGTAAAATGCATAGTTGACATATTTTAACTGGTAGTTGCATCAACAAGCCAAGTAATGTGTTCCAACGTTCTTGTCACCTACACTGTCAATTAGACATAAATAATCCAAACATTATATTAATTTATACTAATTAAAGATGAGGTGTCTTAGGCGTCGAATCTTCCAGACATGCATCTATATGGCATGTTATGTGAAATATGTATTTAAGTTTGAGAAACAAGTAGTATTGTTTATGGCTCATAATTAATTAAAATGCAACTTTTTAAAGTTTTTATATTTTATACAAATGTGACTCATATTTGTACAAGATATATGTTGTGTATAGATATATAGATTTGACATCAATGAATTATTTTTTTCATACTTTTATATGCTTCTGCGCAAAATTTCTTATTTCTCCAATTTTTTAGACATTTCAATAGCATGCAAATGTTTTAAAAAAAAAAAAAAAAGAAGCAACAATAGAACTCCGAAAAAATAATGAAGTTATTATAAATTTCATAACTCGAGAAATTTATTTGGTTTTGATGATCTTAGGTCAACCTTAGCAATTAATTAAATTACAGAATAAAAAATTAATATATAGTTAGAGAAAGTTTGTTGCAAGTGATGAAGCCGAACCCTCCTCGAAGAGAAATACTCGTAGATTAGAACTTTCTAAAAGGAGATTACGTTTCAAGCGTAATGACACGTCACCTCCTTCGTTTCTCATCCATATGTCTTGTTCTCTTCAGCCTCTATTCTTTTTGGTCATCGAATTTTCTCTCTCTGATTCTTTTAAATACCTTATATCTGCAGAAGTGAAAATGATATACATCGATTTTTTCCTTTTCTTATTTGTTATTTTAATTTCCTTACCCCTGCAATATATAAATGAGAACTATCATTTGAAACCAAAACTACCATAAGGTTTCCCAGCAATATCCCCAGTAATTTATTTTCCGAACAGAGAAGTTTCATGTTTTATCCTCTTTTTTTTTTGCCATCAGTTTCGTATTTTATCGTACCAATCACAGCTTGATATTACGTTGATATAAGTGATGACAACGTGACACGTACCATTTGAATTATGCTATTTCTATTAACTTCAGATTAGTAAAAATGTTTACTAATTAATAATATTAGTGTTTTGACTGGGAAAAAGCTGAATGGCTCCAAGAAAATTTGGTATGGAACTCCCGAGAGAACGCAATCTCTTGGCGTTCTGGGAAATCAAATTTCAGTTTTTAATATTATTTTGGCAAAAAAGGTGATCAACTGGGCAATGAGGAGCAGTTGGAGATTGGTGAATTAATTATTAATTATTTGCGGGGAAAAAAACAATTAAAGCAGCCATTGATTATGTATTTCAGTATTTGAGAATGGCGAATAATAAGAAAATGGCAAACTTGATTAATGTACACAGCGAGAGCGGTGGGCCACAAACATTTCTTTTCTCTAAATGCCTATTAATTGATGATATATATGAATGAGTGACCTGCTCCTTTCATTTTATTTAAAGGAGACAGAGTATTTTTTTTTAAACACTTCATTAAATTTATAACATAAATGTATAATTTTTTTTTTTAGTTTTTAGTGTTTTGTAGATTGTTATTTTCTACGAAAGTACATATATTAAATAGGAATGAAATTAAAAAATTATGAAATTTTAAAGCAAAATTAATCAGATTTAAAGTTTTTCTTAATTCTAATAAAAACATGTTAGGAATTGTTTATAAACAAGAGAGGAGGACTACGTACGTTAGGCTAAGTGCGCATCCAGGGGTCTATTTAACAACTACTAACATTTCCTTCCCAAGGTACTAAAGTCGATATATGATACGATATATTTTTTTTTCCGAGTACAAATGATGCGATATTTTCACAATATCAAAACCACGTAAGTACACACACACACACACACGTAGTGTATAAATATGGGGGGAGGTTTATATCGATCACTATACGTAGTTCATGGGCATGTGGGGTAGTACGTGGGGTTTCAAACACTGCGCAGTCTCAATTCTCGAAAGCATCGAAAATATTTCTATTATCTTGACCAGCCGGTCAAACCCACAAGTCTTTGACCATAATATAATGAAACTTATATTTAGGTTAACAGATTTTTATGCGTTTGTTATTTCAATTATGAGAGGAAAAAAAAACTGTCTTTTAAACTATACTGATTAGTTTTGTTTTAATTATCTCTAGCTAGGTTGCTTCTTCCGCAATTCCTAGCTAGGGTTTGGCTTCTGTATTCTCAATATAGTCAATATACCACACATTATAAAAACAATTAAAATGACATCATTCCTTTGAATTCAGATGTTCCGAGCACCCCTATAAATCCACATCCAGGTCTTACCAAAATCTGTTAAGCGTTTGTGTTGTATCTTATACCTAAATTTTCTCTTGAGAGAGATTCATATATCTCCCGCATCTGTTACATTTGCTGTGCAAATTAGCCTAGTATAATGGGTAGGCCACCATGTTGCGAGGAGACTGGTTTGAAGAGAGGACCATGGACGCCTGAAGAAGATGAGAAGCTTACCGCTTATATCAGTAAGCATGGCAGCGGAAGTTGGAGAACAGTCCCAAAGGAAGCAGGCCTCAAGAGATGTGGTAAGAGCTGCAGGCTAAGATGGACCAATTATCTTAGGCCTGATATCAAGAGAGGCAAATTCACTGAAGAAGAGGAGAAATTGATCATCAACCTTCATTCTGTTCTTGGAAACAAGTGAGTGCATGATTAATTACATATGTCATATATATATCGCTTACTGATTGATTATATACGTATGATTTATGCTGAAACTTGGATTGGTTGTTGTTGTAGGTGGTCGAAGATTGCAACGCATCTTCCAGGGAGAACCGACAATGAGATTAAGAATTTCTGGAACACCAATTTAAGGAAGAAGCTTCTCCAGATGGGTCTTGATCCAGAAACTCACAAGCCAAGAACTGACTTGAAGCATCTCTTGAGTCTCTCGCAGTTGCTTGGCGTGGCTAATAATAACTTGATGAGCCCCTGGAGCCACGGGGGTCTAGGTTTCCAGCAACCGGATTTGACTCATCAGTTAGCCCAACTCCAACTCCTCCAGAATCTGTTGCAGCTTATGAATGGCAACTCATCGTTGGTCAGTAACATGCGGAGTGTTCTTCCAATCTTGGGTTCTCACAGTTTGATCAATAACCCAATGGAAGCAGTTATAAATAATGGTCCAAACAGTACTCTCCCCAACAGCTTGAGAGAGCAAGAATTATATGCAAGCCCTGCTCTATTTCCTACAGCACCAAGTGAATCACAGCAGGATATTTCAGAATCATGGACAGACCTAGGAGGAGCATCAGATCAACAAATTTTGGGTATTAATAATATCAGCAGAACTTCATCACATGAAATGAATCAAGTTGAAAATCCATTTCCTGCAACCAGTTCAGGTAACTTCAACCAAATGGATAGCTCTAATACTGATGAAGGGTCCCACCTGCAGTCATCTCCATCCCCACTCTTTGATGCTTGGGAAAAACTCTTGGAAGATGATGCAAGCGATTCCTATTGGAAAGAACTTTTAGAGTAAGCTCTCTCTCTCTCGATCTGCGTGTGTGGGATAAAAGGTTTCCTTATATTTATATGCTCATGGGCTTCGTGCTCTTACAACTTATGACCTTTGTCGTTGAGAGATTATGACGTTTGTTTTCTTTTAATTTGTTTTGCAGTTTGACATCCACTTCCACATCGCCGATTACGTGGTAGAGGATTTTGGTGTCTTTAAAGATGGACTTGATCAAGGAATAGTTGAATACAAGCGCGCGCGCGCGCACACAAAGGATACAATAAAATATTCATTGTTCATTCATTCATTCAATATTACAGATAGTCTGTTGGGTTTTATTGTTTGGATTCTTTTGTTGTATCTAATACGAGGTATATTGTTGCAAAATTATGTTTAGTCTGATGTTCCTTTTAAGATGTAATAATTCTACTTCACCATATTTGATTCTCTTTGTATGTATCAAAAACAAAATATTTCATTCTATTTGTTTTCCACGTTTTTGGGACTAAATAGGCCTGCATTCGGTGCTCATCACTTGATGAGCACCCGGTGCTCATCAAGTGATGAGAAATATGGACCGTCCAGATTAGATTTGGACGGTTCATATTTAATTTTTTAAATAATTATTTTAAAATAGAAAAAATTATTTTTTGAAAGCATGATAGTTAAGAGATTATCTTTATTTTTTATTCTATACCTATTAAAATAATTATTTTTAAAAAATAAAAAATAAAAATAAAATAAAATCTGGACCGTCCAGATCGGATCTGGACGGTCCAGATCCTGATGAGCACTGGGTGCTCATCAGCTTGATGAGCACTGGGTGCTCATCAGCTGCACCCAATGCAAATCCGACTAAATATGTGTTGTAATTAATGTGGCGGCAATTTTTTTTCCATCTCTCTTCGCATGGGAAAATAATTAACCAGATCCTCTCTGGTCCAAAAAAATAGAAAATTACAATGTCAAGGCACATGACGGCATTTAACTTATGTGTCACTTTGCATATACGAAGCCAATAAATTTATATAAATATATGAGAAATTTAGATTTTATAACTTGTAAAACTTACCCATATATATATATATATATATAACTTCAACGGAATAAAACGTGGTGAAAGAAAATTGAGTCTAACTTTCAAATAAAAAGTATATAATAATTTAATTTAATCAATCTAAAAAGAATTGTAGCCAACGAAAATTATTATAGTTGGCAAGGATGCAATTCATATCCCACAAAGAGATATATATATATATATATATATATATATAAATTTGAATTTCACTGCTGATATGAGATATGTTTTGTAAGCATTACTTGAATCTTAAGGCATGAATCTTGATGAGTTTCTAAAACCTATTTCATCTAAATTTTTGTTCACACGAGAAAATTTGTATAATTTATTCTAAGAACAAGTAATTCCACTCACAATACTCACATTCCAAGCTTCTTAATTTACGTATAAAGAAATTTCTTAGTTTTTAGTGGGCCCAAAAAGTTTAAAATCTAACATTTAATTTAAGTCATCATGTTATTCTACTTAATTAGTACCTACCCCAATTCTAATATCATAAAAACTTAATTCCATTTGATCCGCGGGCTGCACAAAACAAGTTATTCAGTATAACCCTGCATATATACTACCTCCGGTACTTAATATAAATACTTGTTTAGTTTTTATTTTAGTTCTAAATATAAGACCTTAATCTATTTTGTCTTTCATATTTATCTTTTTTTTTTAAGGTGACCTTTGTAATAATGGTAATTGTAGTCAGTACATTTAATTAACAAGGATAATTTAAGAAAGACAACGACTATTTATTACAAATGACTAACTTAAATAATTTTTTTAATCTACTCAAATTAGTCAACTAGCTCTTATATTAAAGACCGGAGGTAGTACTTTGAAGATCATTAATCCTTGCGGAACCGGAGCGTTGAAAAAACACACCCGCACTTCGGATTGATCATAATGCCTAGGATTAGGTGTGCGAAGATCATGGCTTGGAAAGATCTGGAGAGGCTTCAGATTAAACCAGAACACTGACCAATATGATCAAGTAGCTAGAAAGAGCTACACCTTAAACTATATCTTCTATAACTTTTGATCTAGTGGTATAAGCACTCGGCCAGACCGGCTGGTTAGAAATATATTTTCCGCTCATTCTTCTTTGACTTTGTTGAATAGTATTTTTCTGGTTGGTTCTCTTATTAAGCACGAAAATGAGAGCAGATGAGTAAGTTGAAAAACCTCACCATTTTGATGTCTATTTTCTAGTTGACAAAATTATTATACCCTGGTCATTATCAATGATGCCAATCCCCTTTGATCAGAATATAATTAATCAAATTGAGCTCGAGCTGAATTGAAAGGTCAAAACACAACTGAGATTCCATAAAATATTAATATGTCAAACCCTTCGATATAGTAAAAGCCCACATGTTGAATTTGGTAAATATTATGGGGATTACATATGTTAGTTTGACTGGATAATCCTTATAGGTGTTTATGCTAATTACTTTGACCGGATAATCTTTTATTACCTAGTTTTCAAATGCATATCTTTTCCAGTTTTACCTTTCATCCTTCTGGCTCAACTAGCTAGATAATATAATGAAAATCAATTTAGTGCAGATACATTTAGAATGTGAAGATCTTGAAACTTCCGAACGAAATAGGGCCTTTATTTTTGGTTCCAAATTGAAGTAGAACTGGTGAGGTGTTAGTAATTATAAAATGCAGAAGAGAAGGCAATACAGAGATGCACATAAACAATTCATTCATGTCACGCCGACCGGGGGAACATTGGGGCATTTTATATATGTAACTGAAGAGAAATAAATATAATGATGAGTGTCATTTAATAGATGGAGCCTATCATTATATTTCTCTCTCTTTAGAGTTACACACACACACACACACATATTGCGCAGTAGAACAGTCTTCGTTTCCATCTCACAATTTTATAAAGAAAGGGGAAAAAACTCAGAGTTTAACTTCTATAGTCATTTTTTAATGTCCAATAATCAGTACTACCATTCTTCTGCAGAAAAAGGTATCATATTTGTCGATGTTGACTTAGAATGGTTCAAAAAAATTCGGCAAGAAACTCAGGAGGAGGGCAACCATTGGCGTCCTAAGAAATTTGAATGAATTTGGTGAAAAGTTAATCAGCCATATTAATGCAATGAATGCATATTAAGGAGCAGTTAGAGACAGCTGCATTATTGCGAATATATAATGGAAAGCAGCCCTATTCGTAGTATTTGAGGATGGCGTATAAGAAGAAAATGACAAAGTTCATTACCACACTGATGACAAAATGGGTGGTCATTTATCCACGTCAGAAGCATTCTCACGCTTAGGATATTAAGAACAATTGCCTAGCATTATTCAAACCTTTTGAAGATGTATTATACAGAGTCTTAGCAATGGGCTGCATTAATTGTTTGAAGTTTGTGAATGCAAAATGCGACTTACGACATGTTTTAGTGTAAATATTGACAATGATACGTGATATTGATATGTCTCAGATTTTCCCAACTTTTACATATATTACTCTAAAATTAATTAGCAACTTAATCAAATAAAGAAGTTTTGGAATTAAGAAAATTAATAAAGAAGTAACGCAGGAGCATGAGCTGAAGTGATGCTGAAATCAAATCAGATAAAGCAGCCTTCCTTATCCAAATTTACCATGCAAATGACCAATTTATAAGGTGACGGAAGTTTCTTTGACACGGTAATTCTATGTTGTTTGAAGTTTTCCTATATTCAAACCATACATATATTATAGCCAACATGAAACTTCCATGGGCTTCAGTGCTGCTTCCAAGGTTGACTTATCAATCTCATATATCTATCATATCGAAGTTCTTTCGATGTTGACCAATGATGGGTCAAAGCAACACTAAATTTCTCATATATTGCAAAATTTTTGGAATTACAGAGATATGCGTTCAAATATTATATGTATAAATGCCCTAGGCTGCTTCCTTCAAGTTTCGTCAAACAGGAGGAAAGGGAGGGGAAAGAAGAGTCAAAGACCTTATTACTTTAATTTAGATGTCTTGAGCACTTATAAAACCAACGTGTCTCACCAGACATCTGGTAAGCTTTTTCTTGGATCTCAGCTCTTTATCTCTTCTGAGAGGACATCCTTTAATTTCTGTGTTGGAATTGCATTTATTGTGCTATAGCTGCCTTTGCATAATGGGTAGGCCACCGTGTTGTTGTGATGAGAGTGGTGTGAAGAGAGGACCATGGACGCCTGAAGAAGATGAGAAACTTTTTGATTATATCAGTAAACATGGCAGTGGAAATTGGAGAACGGTCCCAAAGCATGCGGGACTCAACAGATGCGGCAAAAGCTGCAGGCTACGGTGGACCAATTATCTTAGGCCTGATATCAAGAGAGGCAAATTTACTGAAGAAGAGAAGCAATTGATCATCAAACTTCATTCTGTTCTTGGAAACAAGTAAGTGCATGGTTAATTAGTTACATCATTGCTCGCTGATTGATTATATACGTGTGGTTAATGCTGAAACTTGGATTGATTGTGGCTGTAGGTGGTCGAAGATTGCAACGCATCTTCCAGGGAGGACTGACAACGAGATTAAGAACTTCTGGAACACCAATCTGAGGAAGAAGCTTCTCCAGATGGGTATTGATCCAGAAACTCACAAGCCAAGAACTGACTTGAAGCATCTCTTGAACCTCTCGCAGTTGTTAGGAACGGCTAATATTAACTTGATGAGCCCTTGGAGCCATGGGGGTCTAGGTTTCCAGCAACCAGACGTGACTCATCAGTTAGCCCAAATCCAACTTCTGCAGAATCTGTTGCAGCTTATGAACGGCAATTCCTTCAGTAACATGCAGAGCATTCTCCCGATCTTACTGAGTAAGCAAAGTTTGATCAATAACCCAGTGGAAGAAGATATAAATGGTCCAAACAGCACTCTCCCGAACAACAAAGAGTCTTTTTTGAGAGAACAAGAATTACGTGCAATCCCTGATCTATTTCCTCCAGCACTAAGCGACGCAAACAAGGATATTTCAGAATCATGGACGTACCTGGAAGGAGCATCACATCAACAAGCTTTTGATATCAACAGTAGAGTTAGAAGAACTTCTTCGTCACATGAATTGAATCAAGATGAAAATCCATTTCTTGCCACTGATTCAGCCAACCAAATGGAGAGATCCAATACTGATGAAATGGCCGACCTGCAGCCAGCTCCATCCACTGTCTTTGATGCTTGGGAAAATCTACTCCTGGAAGATGATACAAGCGATTCCTACTGGAAAGAACTTCTAGAGTAAGCTCCCCCTCGCCCAAAAAAAACCTCTCCCTGTGTGTGGAAAACAAAAAGGTTCTCTTCTATTAGGTCTAAGCATGCTCATACCCTCCATATTCTTAAGCTTATGATTTCATTTGTTGAGGGATTAAATGTTTATTTTCTCTTGTTTTGCAGTTTGACAGCCACCACTTCCTCATCGCTGGTTTCATGGTAGAGGATTTTAAGGCCCAGATGCTCAAGGAATATTCCCACAAAGGATACAATAAAACATTCATTATTCATTCATTCATTACTAAGTGTTCGTGTAGTACTATAACAATTGAATGTAAATGAGTAAAAGTGGAGAAACAAATACAATCGATATATCTTGGCTCTTCTACGTCGAGTCTGCCAGTGAGAGGGCTAATGAAAGTTCAGAATCAGGTTGAACATTACACTTGGGCCAATCGTTATGGTTTAATAGAAAGAGTTGCATTATTGACTTTCCGTTATAACTTTTTATCTAAAGCACTAGCCATCTAATACACAGAATAGAAATATTTCTTCCGCTCAATATTCCCATGCTTCTTCTTTTAGCTTGGTTCATTATTTTTCTGGTTGGTTGTCTACTTAAGCAAGAAAATGAGCGCAAATGAGATAATTGAAGTTGAAAAATCAGCTCCATTAATCTATATCTCACCATTTTCGTATATATTTTCTGGTTGACAAATAAACCTTGGTCATGAATTGATGATATAAAATCCACTGTGACCAGAACGTAATCAAATCTCGAGCTGAATTGAGAGGTTTCAAAGTCAAACTGACATTCTGTAAAATATTATATAATGAATGTCAAAACACTCGGTATAGTAAAAGCACGCATGTTGAATTTGGAATATGCTAAGAGGATTTCAAATTTTAGTTTTCCTTTCCAGTACTTAATATAATACTTATTTAACTAATTTGATTATATTAAGGAAGTTAAGTAAGTTAGTTAATTATAAAAAATATGACAAGTTTTTTCTAAAGCACCATAATCATTTTTTTTAATATCTCCCTCCCTCTTCTACTTGATTATGGTTGATGGAGTATTCATAGGGGTAATTTAGAAAAAATTGATAAATATGAAAAATAGGTCTTATATTTAGGACCAAAATCAATTTAATAATTAGATCATATATTAAGGACCGGAGGAGGATTCTATAATCTTTATAGGTATTTTTATATTTGGTTTGACCACATAAAAAATTATTATCTAGTTTTCACACGTGTTTTTTTTTGGCCGAAGTTTTCACACGTGTTTGCTTTCTATTTTTGACCTTTCGTCCTTTCGGTTCAACTAGAAAGTAAAAGGAGAAATAACTTAGCCAGGTACAATTAATTATGAAGATCTTGAAACTCGTTTTATGCCGGGGGTGGGAAGACGAGAACTTTTTTTTGGGCTAAACATAGGTATTTTTTTATTGGAGGTAATCATGTTCGAGACACTGTCAGTTACTAAATGTGAGAGCTCTTCTGCCTGTTAGTATTCAAACCTTAGTTCGCTACATTGTAAGAAACTAGCCCTCTTCACTAGATCTAATCCTGTTGGTAAAGAAGAGAAGTCGATGAAAAGTAACACATATGAATAATTCATATACATGCAAGTCCAAACCCAATAATAGTTGAAAATTTATAAGTATCGTAGTATTTATTACTATGATGATGAGCACTGAAACTAGTTTCTCACACCCAAAATGCATACGGTGCAATCTAAACTCATTTTATCCATGCAGTCCACGCAATCAATTGAAGGGAAATAATTAAATACAATGGTGGGTTCATCTAACATAATAGGTAAAACCCATCATCATGTTTAATTTATCTCTCTGGTTACACAAAACACATGGTTGAAAAGAGTCTTTTCAAGTTGTAGTTTCATGCCTTGCAAAAACCCTTTCTACTCATTTTATCTCCAACAATGATCAATATATTACAATACATCTGTCGCAGAAAATGTAATTATTATATTGATTCCTTGTGCTATTAATTAATTTTGCTTCCCCATGTTACGTCTAAGAACTTGATTAAGTTATGGCTCTCAATATCCATTATTACAAATGGATCAGCATGCCACTAAATTATTTTCCTTTTATTGTACCTTTTCGCATTACACCTAACCGGTCATTTTGATAGATGGTATCTGATTAAACGATTATTCCTGTCTATAAAAACTTGGCCATAAGAAATATCAATAAAGTTATAAGATAGAGCCTTCACTCGTATAATATTAGTCCCTTGACTTTGAATGCTTCAGAAAAGAAAAAAATTCGGTAACCTTTTAGCGTCCTAATTAAGATATTGGAATGAAATTTGGTGAAAAGTTAATCAACAAATATTGACGCAATAAATACATTAAGGAGCAGTTACAGATAGTTGCATTATTGAGAATTATATAATGGAAAGCAGCCATTGATACCAATGAATTTGAGAACGCAGTGTACAAGAAGAAAATGACAAAGTTGATATATGGCCTCACTGATGACCAAATGGGTGACCATTATTATCAGAAGCAACCTCCCATGTTTACTAAAAGCAATGGCCTACCATAATTCATCCTTTTGAACACATTATAGAGTTTGAATAACGAGCCACTGTTCAAACTTTGTGAATAGTGCAACTTGCTGTTTAATTTTATAATATAAATTGGCTGATGATATGTTGACATATACGTTGAAGCATAGTTAAGCAAAAAATAAATTCCTAATTATGTTTTAGATTTTCCAAAATTATAAATACATATTACTCTAAAATTTGCAACTTAATCGATCAAATGATGAAACCAACATAATGCAGGAGCCTGTGCAGAATAATGCCAAGGTCAAATCAGATAAAGCAGCTTCCCTTTGCATACAAAGCATCAATTTATAAGGTGATATAGAAGATTCGGACACAATAAAAAGTAATATTTGGTTTTCCAAGTTGTTAGGTTTCCAATATTTGCAAATATTCACCACTATATAGCCAACCCTAAACGTCCACAGGCTCCAACGCTGCTTTTTGACTTTTCAATCTCATGCCCCTGTTATATGGAAAATCTTTCAATGTTGACCAATTGGTCAAAGCGACAATGAATTTCCCACAAAGAATAAAATTTATGGAATTTAAAGCGGCATGCATTCAAATATTATATGTAAAATATATGTGCCCTGGGTTGCTTCCTTCACGTTTCGTCAACCCGAAAAAAGGCGGAGAAATGACATCATTGCATGAATTTGGATGTCTTATAGACGCACTTATAAAAGCAACCTGTCTCAGTGGAGATCTTGTAAAACCTTTTTTCTTAGACCTCAGCTTTAGTTTATCTCTTCTGAGGGGTCTTGAGGTTTTTGTTGTTGGAATTGCATTTACTGTGCCAGCTAGCTTTGCATAATGGGTAGGCCACCGTGTTGCGAGGAGACTGGTGTGAAGAAAGGGCCTTGGATGCCCGAAGAAGATGAGAAGCTTTTCAATTGTATCAGCAAACATGGCAGCGGAAATTGGAAAACAGTTCCAAAGCAAGCGGGCCTTAATAGATGCGGCAAAAGCTGCAGGCTAAGATGGACCAATTATCTCAGGCCTGATATCAAGAGAGGCAAATTCACTGAAGAAGAGGAGAAATTGATCATCAAACTTCACTCTGTTCTTGGAAACAAGTAATTCAGCATCATATATATCATCTGTGTCTTTTAAACTTGGCAGCATTAATAATATATGATTGCCTAGTTAAGACTTCAACTCCTTGTTGTTGCAGGTGGTCGAAGATTGCAACGCATCTTCCAGGGAGGACTGACAACGAGATTAAGAATCTCTGGAACACCAACTTAAGGAAGAAGCTTCTCCAGATGGGTATTGATCCAGAAACTCACAAGCCAAGAACTGACTTGAAGCATCTCTTGAACCTCTCGCAATTTCTTGGCGTGGCTAATAATAACTTGACGAGCCATTGGGGCCATGCGGGTCTGGGTTTACAGCAACCAGATGTGACTCATCAGTTGGTCCAAATCCAACTTCTGCAGAATCTGTTGCAGCTTATGAATGGCAGTTCATCGTTGCTCAGTAACATGCAGAGTAGTCTCGCACTCTTGGGCAATCACAGTTTGATCAGTAACCCAGTGGAAGCAGATACAAATGGTCCAAACAGTACTCTCCCCAACAACTTGAGAGATCAAGAATTATATGCAAAGCCCTGCTCTATTTCCTTCGGCACCAAATGAATCACGCCAGGATATTTCAGAATCATGGACAGACATAGAAGGAGCATCATCAGATCAAGAAGTTTCGGGTACCAATAATAGCCTCCCCGGAACAACATCACATGACATAAGGCAAGCAAAAAACCTACTTCCAACGTTTGACTCGGCCTCCTTCAACCATATGGAGATTAGCCCTATCACAGATGAAGTGTCAACCCAGTCAATTTCATCCACAATCTTTGATACTGATTGGGAGAAGCTCTTGGTAGATGATGATACAAGCGATTCCTTCTGGAAAGAACTCTTAGAGTAAGCCATGTCTCTCTCTCTCACTCACTATGTGTGGAAAATTAAAGGTTCTCTTCTATTAGGTTTATGACGTTTGGACTCCATGTTCTTTCAGCTTATGCTGTCTTCATTTTGGAGAGGGATTTTATATTTTATTTGTTTTACTTTCTGCAGCTTGACGTCCACTTCCGCAGCTTGATCATGAACTAAAGGCACAGGAGGGATACAGTTAATACATCGATTCTTTATTTTGGTTTTGGAACCTCTTCTCTTTCCTTCCTATCCTCTTTTCTCTTAATATATTTGGGAAAACCATACTTCTAGTCCTCAAAGTTTGAGTCAACTTTGGTCTTAGTCCCTACAGTTTATTTCTTTGGGTAGCAGTCCTTTTAGTTTTGCTCTGTTAAACAGTTAGTCCTTCCGTGAGATGATATGGCAAATGGAGCTGACATGGCCACTAACACCGTTATTATATGCTGATATGGAAGAATACATGGCAAGCAAAGGTAAATCACAAAAACAAAAAAAGAAACTAAAACGGTGTAGCATCATCAAAACGCAGGCTAGGGTTGATTGGTGGAAAGAGCGGAGATCGATCTGCAGCAGCTGTGTGGTGAAGGTGAAGCAAAGAGGGGTCTTGATGCTTGGGTTCGATAGACGCGAAGCGGTAGACTTGGAAGGGCTCGCTGGTGAGTTTGAAGACGGGGCTGTATTTTTCACTACCCCTGAATTTTTGAGACTCACATGAACAATATATGGAAGGGATTATAGAAGGAAAGACAAATAAGAACTTTAGAACTTGCAAGATCGTGACGCTAGACCAAAATCCAGCTGACAAAAGCGCAGGATCTTTATGCTTCTTTTGTAAATTGTTGTCTGTTTACTTAAGAGGGAGAGCCTTTGTAGGCTTTTTTCTTTTTGTTTGTTTACAAATTTTTAATGTGGGGGATTTTGAGGGTTTAAGTACTCCGTTTTACTTTCTAGATACTTTTTTTTAAGTATTGTAATGCAGTTCTTCAGAGGTGCTGTCAGAATGTTTATAATTCATGAAAAGTTTTGATTTTTATGATTTTTTAAGGTTTCCTCGATTGATACTTATGTCCTAATACTGTTCATTAATCGTTCTCCATTGATCCATCCCTCTACTCCACCACCTGCTATCATTGCTTTTCTGCTTGCAACCTGTAAACATTAATTATGCTTGATTTATTAGAGACCCCCTTTCTTGCACTCAACTCCATTGTTTGTCCCCTTGTCTTTCGAATATTTGTGTCATTCATGCGAGAGAAATGCCATAACCCATTTTTCTGATTGCGTTTTATCAACCTGCCATTTTTTAAATCTCTCTCTTTCTCTAGATTGGTGTTTCAGAAAGTTTTACGGGAAGGATGTGATATCATGGGGTAGGCTTCTCGGTGGTTGAAGGGCTTATTGGGGAAGAAGAAAGAGAATAACCCCCTGACAATTCTGGCACATTGGTTTTGAAAAGAAGGAAAAGAAACGATGGAGTTTTGTTAACCAAGCAAAGAATATCTGATTCTGGAATTTTTGTTTTGATTAATGAGTTCTTTCTTTCTTCTTTTTTTTATGAGAAAATGTCCAATCAGCTATTTTATCCATGTGTTGTTTCATGTCAGCATGTAATAACAGTGTTAGTTGCCATATCAGCTCCGTTTGCCATGTCATCTCACCGAAGGACTAACTGTTTAACAGAGTAAAATGATAAGGACTGCTACCCAAAAAAACAAACTATAGGGACTAAGACCAAAGTTGACTCAAACTATAAGGACTAGAAGTATGGTTTTCCCAATATATTTCAACAGTTTAGATTTTAACCATTAGATTAAAATTTATAAAAGAGTTTTAAAAATATTTAGTGCACTTGCAAACCATTTGAATTAAATTTCAATATAGTTTATAATTTATTATTTATTTATTTTAATAATTTAATATTTTAATAATAGTTTTAAAAATTATTTATTTATTTTAATAATAATTTTAAATATATTTAAATCTGAACAATTAAAATATTAATCTAACGGTTAAAAAAAGAAAAAAGAAAAAGAAAAAAAAAGGAAAGAGGATGGAAAAGGAAAAAGAGAGCTTCCGAACCGTCTTTATTTGTTCATTGATTATGAAGATCTTTTGCCTCTCTAGTGTTCAAATTTGTTTATCATTAAAGTCACAGATTGCAAAGTTGTGCACTACAAAATGTATGTGCTGGTTGTAATAACTCGTTTAGTTGGCTTGATGTTGTTATATTCATATACATTATTTGTGCTTCATTGTTGGATTTGATTATACGTCCTTTATTCTTTTTGCATTAAAACAAATTTATGATGATAATGAAGAATCTTTTTCAATCACTCTTCTATCCTCATGTGGCAACCATAAATACCAATCTAGGCCGTAAACTGCTTGCAGTTAGAAAGTGATTTAAATGATATTTTCAGCATTAACTATAAAATTTCAAAACTTAAACAATTCTAACTCTTTAAGGCCTAATATGAAGTGATAATTACATAAAGAAAAATGCTTATCCTTTCCAAAAATGACAGTTGAATACAAGTAAACTATAGACATTTCTCTTAATAAAATTGCCATGACAAGTTTTGAAATACTTGTGGTCAATAAAAAATCAATAGCATGCTAGCTGTAAATTGGTGATTGGCATACTACGGGTTTGAATCCTGTCTTTTTCCTTTTCTGAGAATCTCATCTCTACCGTTGGATCAAATAACAAATAATTCGGATTTAATATTTTAAAAAGCAGATGTTCACCTTCTCTTTCCTATTAATGTAATATTATAATAATAGTTTTATAAAGTATGAAATTTGATCCATTCATTATTTAATCCAACAGTAGAAATCAGATACTAAGAAGAATAGGAGAAAAAAAGATTACGAGAGGATCCAAACGCGGCATGCTACCAGTAAAAGCAAAGCGTCTTGCGTGGGCAATAATCTACTGGAGATGTATGGCTTGCCTGGAATCTTCCTACGATATATATTTGGCGGCCATATTATGTAATTTTAACTTGACAACATAATTACCACCTCCTATCCTTAATATAAAAGTTAATTTAACTTTCAATTTAGTCATAAATATAATACCTCAGTTCACTTTGTCTGTCATACTACTTCCGATCCTTAATATAAAAACCAATAACTAATTTTAGTAGATTAAAAAAATTAGTTAAGTTAGTTATTTATCATAAATAAGTATTCTTTTTCTTAAAATATTTTTGCTATTTAAATGTATTGGCTAGAGCTATTATTATTACAATGACTATATTAGGAAAAAGATAGATAAATATGATAGACAAAGTGAATTGGATTCTTATATTTAGAACTAAAGTAAAAACCAAACAAGTAGGACTAAAGGTAGTACTAAATAAAAACATTGATATATACCGTTAGAAGGAGTCATTAATTACAGCTTTATGTAGTATATTTTTAAATTAAAGCATAACAAACCGACCTTCTATAGTTAATGCAACTTTAATTTCTGAGGTTACGTTTCATGCACGAGGACACACGTTACCTCTTTCGTTTGTCACGCTTGTTTGTGTCATTGTCGAAAGTGACAAACAAAGCGAGGATTCGCTTTAACTTCTCATTTTAATGAACCCAAGATTGATAAGTAATGATATGTCACGTTTGTAGCATATTATTTTCGTTTCAATTTTATTATTCAATTCCCTTACGTGGTTGTTGATATTTTTACCTGGTTGGTCTAAACTGTGAAAAAATGAGGTATGAAGTCGTAGAACTACGGCCATATCTTCCCATCTTCTGATCGAAAATTAAATGTTGGTTATGATAACGTCACACTCTGAGGACAAGTTAATCAAAGTCTAAGCTATTAGGGAGGTCAAAACCAAACTGAGACTCCGAAGTATTAACACGCCATCTGAGTTTCACTTTCCAGTAAAAACTCGCGTTTTAAGTTTGGTGAAATATGCGGATGGAAGGAAGAGTAGGGGAATTTGAGCGTTTAGATTAGCTTTCTAAAAATATGATTTTACAATATTTAAGATAAATATATAAAAAAAATTTTATCTCAACTTTCATAAAAACACTTTTTTTTATTGGTTCCGGACATCCCAAAAAACGACAATTATGGTTAACGGCTAAATTCTCCTCCCCCCCCCGGGGGGGTGTCTCGCACAGATTAAGGAAGTGCTGTCGAAGGGTAGTTCTGTATTCTCCTCTTCTGCTTAAACAATAATTTCTTAAACTTGTTTTTAATTTAAATTTTAAAAAAGCAATAATTATTTGTTTTAAAGATTCTCCGGGAAAAAAATGAATTTTTTTGCGATCTTTTAAACGATAATGTCATGATTCACATGTCGGTGAGTGTTCTTTCTCTTCTTTTTCTGAGACAAATTGACAGCCCAAAATTCATCACTCAACAATACCGCATGGGAGCGCCTCATCTATGACAATCCTGTGTCACTAGTCACAAGTCGCTACAACACAATATCGTAGACCAGTGTTCCAAACGCATAAATCGCCGTTTTTCCCTTTTCAAGATTCTGATTGAGACAACACGGTGCTGTTTCAACACAAGACATTTTCAGTGGACCCCAAACAAAAAAAGAACCAGCACACTCACTTTCCTAATCACGCCCTGCTCGGAAATATCTTTGTACAACGATGATATGGGAAGGGAATAATGATAAAGATAAACAGCACGTGATTAACTACAATCCTCTGACAATATATTCATCTGGATTCGTTTCCCAGAACCGTAGCTTTCACGTCAGTTCAATGTTCTAAAACAAGACACGTTGATTCACGAGGATACAGCCTTTCTTTAGGAAAGTTTATTCAGAGGTGAGATGAAAGTAAGATGTTAGCCCAAGAAGCACAACATTACAGAGAGTATTCGGACTCTTCAACATCAGTTGCACGAGGGCCTCACAACTCCATGACCGACAATAAACAGAAAAAGCAATCCAAGGGATTGTGTCATCGCTGCAGCAAAACAGGGCACACCCAAGAAGTTCGTCTGAAGATGCATAGCAGACATGCAGAGAGAAAACCAAGATACCAAGATGAGACTCAAGACTTAAATGTGACCGCTGAGGAAACAACTCAATCTTAGACCAATCCTTTTACCAAAGAGCAATAGAAGTTATTACAAGAACTCATTTCAAACAAGAACCAGAACAATATAGAAAAAGGTACGGGGTCTAGCACTCCTTAAATTTCTAGACAAACAAGTCCTAAACACAATTATCAATGAACAACAGCGGAAATATGTTATTCTACATAGCCTTTCCTTGTTTTGGGTTAGCCCATTTATCTTGCAATCCTTCAAAGGACTAGTGATCTACAGAATCCATCAGAAAAAATCACATTCCGCTGCTGTCCACCTAATATGTAGTATAAATATACAGAAAGCGATATCTCAAGCGAAGTTACCTAATCAGGCATTTACACGGCTGATCCTGACCACGGCAGTTTTATATTAATGAATTAAACATTCAATGTCAATTGGAAGAAACCGTTAACATATGATGGAAAGCAAGACCTGAATATTACATTTGACAAAGTTCCTCACTGGAAAAATTCTGATCCAATGGCTAGCAATATGAAAATTCCAAGCAAAAAGTTGTTAGGCAGTAGCAGCTAAGCGAAGAAGGCCCCAATGTCTAGAAATGTTAAGAGCCGAAGAACAAGGAATTTTGGAAGTAGTAGGAATATATCATAAGGTACACCGTCTCATCTGCTACTATTAATCTAAAAATAGTAATATGTGAAACTTCGGAAAGAGAATCATCCCTAAATTTGTAGCCAAGTAAAAATAAATTTGTAGCCATCTCAGGCACCATTCCTAAACAAGATCTTTCAATGCCCAGTAGACTACAGTTCAGAGTATAAAAGTATGTTTGCAGGGGGGAAGTGATGTGTATTTCAAATACCTTAAAGAATATGCATTGTCTTTACAACCAAAAAACTCATGTCAGAAACGAAGATAATACTCGTTATGACAATGAGTAATGCTTTATATTGGCAACAAAACCCAATCGGCTTACAACCAAATAAATCATGTCAGAAACGAAGATAATACTAGTTATGACAATAAGTGATACTTTATATTGGCAACAAAACCCAATTGGCATTGCCATCCGTCAGCAGCACGTAGCATTTAAAATTTCGAACAAATTTGTTTCAGTTGGAATATGCTAGTTATAGGGATGATCCAACCCCATGTCAGACTTCAGTTTTAAGTCCTGCATGATGATTCGAGATGTGATAAAGCATTGATAAGCACATACAAGCAGCTACATGCAAGGAGAACAAATGCAGGACATAAGCCCGTCCAAAGTCCATGCATTTATCACAAAGGCAAAGCTGTTAAACTTCAAAAGGAAACTCCCTGTACCCAAAAATATTAATTTTCATGCATATTTTGACATCATCTCAACGAAGGTCTATGACCGACCAATTATCAACCATTCTAAAAGCGTAATTGATTAAGAAGATGAAATTGTTATCTCAGAAATCTCATACAACCAGATGGTAATAAAACATAGCCCTACATGATTTGCGGTACATGGGTTAACTGATGCAAGGGGAAAAAGTTTGTTTCATCTATTCGATTAAGTTTATTGCTTAACAGCATAAAAGTTAGAAAGCCAACAAATAAAGAACTTGCATTTTCATGCCTCGTTTCTGCAATTTAAATCTGTGTGTTCTTTGCTGATAACATATCGCATACCATCCTTTATTCAGATAGACGAAAGGCGAATGTAAATGCAAACTATCTTTTTTCACTCAATTTATCATCTTTAAGAAACAATCACTTCAGGATTCTCAATATTAAACCAAGCAGGACCCTCAATTAAGTATTATCAGTTAAAAAAGAAGATCATGAAGACAATCAATGCAAACAAAGCACAAACAAAATGACGATAAGATTGACAAAATGGTAACTATTTCATCTAACTAGAAAGAAAAAAGAAGTAAAACATTTTTTTCCTGCAAGTTCAGCCTCGAAGTACGACTTTCCTAGACCTTCAGGGTAATAGAGAAGTACCTATCTCCAGAGCAATGGTGGATGGAATATACATGTTAAGAGGTTAAACTAGGCACAAACAACCAACTAATTTCACCACCGTACCAATGGCTATTTAAACAGAATGTGCAACTCTCGTCTATCCATAAATCGGGGCATGGGTCCATTAAGCAAATTCTGGTTGCCCAAAACCACCAATGATAATGATAGAATGAGATACACAGTGTTTGACACAAAGCATCAGACTTGGACAGAATTCTCTTTCTCCTCCATACTGAAAGGTGAAACTGGAAGGCTTCCCTCATCCTCATCACTACAAGTGTTGCTAACAATTTTTCTCATATCTTCGCCATAACTATGCATCTGACGCTGATCCAAAACAGTAATCTCCGGGCTAACTTTCTCATCCGGACCCTTTACCATTTGTTCTTTTTGTTTCTTGCACATTGCATCACAGAAGAAGTCTGTCAATACAGACTCGTAATTCGGCATTTTGGCATACCCCGGAAAGTAATTAATGTCGACAATAAGGTACCGATTTCCGAATCTCGAATCCCGAATCACATCAAAGTTGAAAAGGTTCAACTTCAACGCATGCCTTAAACCTCGAGCTATGTCGGTAAGGAAGCTCTGCGGGGGCATCTCTGTGTCACCCAAATGCATCATCTCATAGTACTTATCATCAATCCTCTCGTTGGCGGCTAAATTCGAAATCTGAGAGAACGACAACAAGTCCTTTGAAAAATCAAGCTTGTCCTCAACATCTGGCAAAGACTTCCTCTTGACGCATCTTACATGATTGCCAACCACGTACACCTTAAAAATGACACCACCATGGTTCACAAACTCCTGCAATACAATCGGCGGCTTCAGCTTGTTCAAGGCATCGTGGTTGTAAACAAGCGCCATTTTATGCGATTTGGCGCTCCCATCTGCCACCAAAGGCTTCGCAATTACCGGAAACCTCAAACTCTCCCACGCAAGCCGATCAAGTAGAGTTTCCTTGTCGTATATGACAATCTGCTTAGGAATCCCGAAGGTCTCATTCTGGCCCTCAATCTTCAACTCCGACACCACCTGCAGCATGGAAATACGATTGTGCAGTCTCTCAATCGCGTCAGGCGAGTCGAGGATGACCGCATTTGGGTATTTCCGCTCAAAATCCCGCAGCTGAGCCTTCCAATCGTCACCGTACAATTTGTGAAGAACACAATCGAAGGGGCCCTGATCCACCAGCGGCCGGTCCGCATCGACCCGAACAAGGTCTATGCCTCGAGATTCTGCGAGGCTCACCAATGAGTTTTGTATAAAGCTCCGTTGCTTCTTATGTGCGAGCGCATATCCTACCCGGAATCTCCTTTCCGCCATTGATCGAGCTTCTTTCAAAGTTTGAGGTGGGAATGTAAATCGGTGAGTGCGAAAACACTCATAGAAGAAGAAAATAAATCACATTAGCAAACTAAAATTCTGATGCGATAGGTTAGGGTTTTTAATCAAGGTTTGTCAACTGGAAGCTCCTGGGATGGAATAGAGAATTGAAGAACGAAAGAGTAATGCAGAGGAAGCGAAGGAATGGAAATAGAGAGAAAAGAGAAAGATGAAAACTGAGCGGTGCGGATATATATAGCTTAGACTAGGGTTAGGAACGAGGGAGATCATAAAATAACCAGGCTTGTGGAAAATTAGAGCAGTGTAGGACACGTGGCTTATTCTTGGGCCCAATATGTGCATTCGCGCCGCTTTACGAAGCGCGTGAAAATAAGGTTTTGGGATCAGCCGGGTGAGATTCGAGAGGAGATTAATTGCCGAGATTGCGTTTATAAGAAATAGGGAAAATTACGTACAGGTCTCACAGAATACAATTTATTCTCCCACAAAATGTCAAAATCATTTGACAGGTCTCAAGGGACCTCAGAGTAATATATTCTATTTGTAAAATGATATTACTGCCCCTCAGATTCCAAATTCACATTTGCTTTGTCATTACAATTTACAACCTCAGTAGCGACTATTAACAACCCAATGAGAGGGCATTAACAACCTAAGCAGTATCCGTTAACAACTTACTTTATACAATCATATAACCTCCACATAGGAGTAAATTATAACCAAATAGTATAATACAACAACTTTAACACTAAAATGGGAAGCTTTTGATATCATTAAGAATTTTAACTAAACCCAATAAGATATAGCAACATTTTAATGCGAAGATCTATTTATAACCTCAACAGTGAGTATTAATAATCTAAAGAAAACTGTTAACAACCTTAATAGTGTCTGTTAACAACTAACTTTATCGAATAATATAACTTCTAATTATAACTAACTAAATTATAACTAAATAGTGTTAAAGTTAATCTTATATAGTTGTTTGATGTTATATTATCCTATAAAGTCAGTTGTTAACAGATACTGCCTAGATTGTCAATAGCTCTCTTTGGGTTATTAATACTCACCGTTGAGGTTGTAAATGGATCTTCGCATTAAAATGTTGTTATAATCCTATTGGGTTTAGTTAAAATTCTTAATGATATAAAAAAGCTTTCCATTTTAGTGTTAAAGCTGTTGTATTATACTATTTAGTTATAATTTACTCTTATATGGAGATTATATGATTCTATAAAGTAAGTTGCTAATGGATACTGCTTAGGTTGTTAACGCCCTCTCATTAGGTTGTTAATAGTCGCTGCTGAGGTTGTAAATCGCAATGACAGAGCAAATGTGAATTTGGAATGTGAAGGGCAGTAATGTCATTTTACAAGTAGAATATATTACTCTGAGGTCCCTTGGGAGTTGTCAATGATTTTGACATTTCGTGAGACCTTAGATGAATAAACTGTCTTCTGTGAGACCTGTACGTAATTTTCCCTAAGAAATATTCTTTATTTATACTATATGTCAATTTCATCAATAATTCGGATTCTTAATATAAAAAAATTAATTGATTCATTTAGGTAGATTTAAAAAATTAATTAAATTATTTATTTATAATAAATAGATATTATCTTTCTTAAAATATCCTTATTAATTAAGTATATTGGTTAAAACTACCGTTATTATAATGACTAACTTAAAAAAATAGATAATATTAGAGACAAAATATATTAGAGTCTTATATTTAGCACTAAAATAAAAGTCAAACAAGCTCTTATATTAAGTATTGAGTGCAGTAATTATTAAGAAATGATCATTTGTATTGTTAATAGTATGTTAATTTTATTTTTGAATTTTTAATAATTTTTACATTTATATACTTAAATTTTAAAATGGGTGGTGTGTGTTCATGATTGGTGAATATAAATTATGAACCTAGATACTCTCTCACAGTTAATTACTGAAAATATACACTCCTCTTATCCTATTTATAAGGCACTTTCAGCATATTTTACATAGACTAAATAAAACTTTAAAATGCATTAACTTTTTATTAAAATATAACAATTTTTCAACTTTACTCATATTTAATATATACACTTTTTAAAAAAATAATTATTTATATTATAATAAATGAAGGATAAGACAATACATTCAAGTTGAAAATTTAATAAAATGACTTATAAATAGGATAAAAAAACTTTCTATGTTATCTTATAAATAGAACTATAGGAGTATATATACTACGAAGTCATTGAAGAAGACTGGGCCCCTCTAAACCCCCCTAAATTGTTCAATCCTATCCTATCCTATCCTATCATTATTCTACCTGAGTTCTGACCATTCCTCAATCTGCATATCAATTTGCAGTGTTGGTAAATGGTAATCAACATTTTTCCCTTGAAAATATTTGGGAAGCGAATGTTAGTTTTGCTGCAACTATACAGATATGGACATTGAAATCGATTTAAGTTTTGAGAATCTGAAATCAGTATTTTCCAAATCTGGATTTTTCAGTGTCATTAAAAAAAATTAGCTAACTGGATCGGGAATTTCTTTTGTTTTTCTTTGGCCCATACATAAGTCATAAGTTAACTGTTTCAATTTTAAAAGCATATCCATCGCAATTATTGCATGTTTATCCAAAGAAGATAGGAACAAACGTTAGCCGAATAAACATTCTCTAGCTGACACGATTTGATTGCGTCTATGTTTTTAGAAGCATAGAGTGTTTTTCTTTTTATTTTTTTTTGCCAACTTTATAGGTATTAGTGTCATGTGGCGATTCCGTGCACAAAAGTTTTTCGATTAATGAGGATGCCGCTGCTTTTGCAAATGCAAAGCGTCCATGTTAGTTCCCACAGAAAAAAAGACATAATTTCACTTTCCCAGAAAAAATAATTTTGGTGAGAAAAATATTTAAGGCAAATTATTTATATACATACTACCTCCCAATCTTTAATATAAAAACTCATTTGATTTTTATTTTAATTTTAAATATAATATTTTATTTTATTTATTTTTATAGTTATTTATTTTTTAAAATGGTTCTTATAATGATATTAATTTAACTAAGATACTTAATTAGTAAAGATACTTTAAGAGAGAGAACAATTATTTATTACAAATAACTAATTTAACTAATTTTTTTAATCTATTTAACTTAGTTAATTAGCTCTTATATAAAAAACCAGAGGTAATATATATATTATGTCAGGTTTTCCAGTCCACAAAGTCATGTATCCTATTTTTTGTCATGTGAGCTTATAAACAAACAATAATATTTCAAAAATAAGCATATAAAAAAAGGGGGAATTTCACTGTAGGACCGCAGAAGGCAAATAATTTCAAAGAGCCCCCAAAACTTTCTGAAACCTCACTGCAGGACCAAGGGACCAATCTGATATTAATTTTAGAGTGAGATTACAATAATACCCCTCCCTTTTTATTTTATTAAAAAATAAATATTTACCGGAGTTACTGTTCCGGCCACCGGAGGTCGGAGGTCCGACCACCGGCGCTCAGGTGGCCGCCGTCGGGGTCCGGTCACCGGTAGCCGGAATAGTAACTCCGGCGGGACCTCTGATGGCCGGAGTTTTTTTGTTTAAAACAAAGTGGCCAAGGGAGGGTTTGAACCCAGGACCCCTTGGCACACCAAAAGAGTTGTAACCACCAACCCAAGCAACCCATTCAATCATAAAATGCAAATAAAATTACATATAACAAAATAAACGCAACAGTCCAAATGTAAGTGAACAAGTGAAATTAGACGATTTACAAGTGGAATTCAGAAATTTGCAACAAAAGTTAGGCAATTTACAAATAACATAATAGAAGTCATAACCCAAAATGCAAGTGTTTAGGTGCAAATGAGCAAGTAAAATTTGAAGATTTACAATAAAAGTTTATGGATTTACAACCCAAATTTGGCAAACACAAGAGAATTCACAACCTAAAATGTAAGTGTTTGAATGTAAGTGAACAAGTGAAATTAGACGATTTACAAGTGTAATTCAGAAATTTACAACAAAAATTAGACAATTTACAAATAACATAATAGAAGTCATAACCCCAAATGCAAGTGTTTAAGTGCAAATGAGCAAGTGAAATTTGAAGATTTACAATAAAAGTTTATGGATTTACAACCCAAATTTGGCAAACACAAGAGAATTCACAACCCAAAATGTAAGTGTTTGAGTGTAAGTGAACAAGTGAAATTAGACGATTTACAAGTGTAATTCAGCAATTTACAACAAAAATTAGACAATTTACAAATAACATAATAGAAGTCATACCCCAAATGCAAGTGTTTAAGTGCAAATGAGCAAGTGAAATTTGAAGATTTACAATAAAATTTTATGAATTTACAACCCAAATTTGGTAAACACAAGAGAATTCACAATCCAAAATGTAAGTGTTTGAGTGTAAGTGAACAAGTGAAATTAGACGATTTACAAGTGGAATTTAGAAATTTACAACAAAAATTAGGCAATTTACAAATAACATAATAGAAGTCATAACCACAAATGCAAGTGTTTGAGTGCAAATGAGCAAGTGAAATTTGAAGATTTACAATAAACTTTTATGAATTTACAACCCAAATTTGGTAAATATAAGAGAATTCACAACCCAAAATGTAAGTGTTTGAGTGTAAGTGAACAAGTGAAATTAGACGATTTACAAGTGGAATTTAGAAATTTACAACAAAAATTAGACAATTTACAAATAACATAATAGAAGTCATAACCCCAAATGCAAGTGTTTAAGTGCAAATGAGCAAGTGAAATTGTCGAATTTCACTTGCAAATCTATAAACTTTTGTTGTAAATCTTCAAATTTTATTTGCTCATTTACACTTAAACACTTGTATTTGGGATTATGAGTTCCATTATGTTACTTGTAAATTGCCTAATTTTTGTTGTAAATTGCTGAATTCCACTTGTAAATCATCTAATTTCACTTGTTCACTTACACTCAAACACTTATATTTTGGGTTGTGAATTCTCTTGTGTTTACCAAATTTGGGTTGTAAATCCATAAACTTTTATTGTAAATCTTCAAATTTTACTTGCTCATTTGCACCTAAACACTTGCATTTTGGGTTATGACTTCTATTATGTTATTTGTAAATTGCCTAACTTTTGTTGCAAATTTCTGAATTCCACTTGTAAATCGTCTAATTTCACTTGTTCACTTATATTTGGACTGT